ACCTGTTGCTGCTCTCAGCGCCGTACTAGCATCAAGAAAAAGAAGCGTACCGAGTCCTTTGCACTGTAAGCCGTGTTAGGTCTCTGGGTGACCGAACTAGAGTGGTTAATCTAGGTACATTTATAAGGTCCTCAAGCAAGTCCATTCCGATGTTGGGATCTCCAAGAAGTCGATGTCGATCATGAACAGCTTCATTAATGATATGTTCGACCGCCTGGCCACTGAGGCCATTAAGCTCATCCGTTACAGTAAGAAGAAGACGCTGACTAGCAGGGAAATCCAAACTGCCCTGAGGTGATCGGCGCACCCTTTCTATAGCTGTTAATATCCTTGGTAGGTTGCTCTTGCCTGGTGAGCTCTCTAAGCATGCCGTTTCCGAGGGTACGAAGGCTGTTACTAAGTAAGCTGCTCATGCATGTTACCAGTGTGGGAATCTACCCTCGAGCTTCTCAGCTGAGCTTAAGAGTTAACGGACGAACTCGGTTGGAAATAAACAGGAATTAATGAGAATTTCCCAAAATTTCCTCGTAATTTTCTGGATGTGGTTGGACGTATGCATATTTTCCTATTCGTACATTGGATATTGAATAGGTATACCTCGTCAGCTCCTATAGGGATACCTGGGCAAGGCAGTAGCGGCAAGGCTTAGTTCTAATGCTCCATGCCTGCACGCTTAGGTAAGAGGAAACCTCTTCTCCTCTTTTTACCCTTTTTCTATCAGAATTGACAAGCTACTTGGTTAATATTAAGTCCAAGTTGATAACCTCGTTGTTGTTGAGATAAGTATAAGGACAAATGAGCAGTTCATTCGGTGAACCTCATTGGAAAGAGACGATATTATTTTCGGAATGGTGTTGTGTTGTCGAACGGGAAGTTGCCATCCGTGTAGGATTGAGTGTTTGTATAACCACTAGGATAGGTACGTCTCGACCGCCTCTTTTCGCACGAGGTGAGGTGTACCAAGGAATTTGCCAATAGCGTTGATAGATGTGAATTGTTAGGATCATCGGGGTTGGCAACCACATTGGCTTTAGAGCAGTGTAGATGTCCATCTGGTGGAGAGCATACCAACCGTTGTGTTCTCGGCCTTAGCGAGTTCACCCCGTTGATTGTGAGGTCCGCTCACGGCTGGCCAACTTCATACATCATTATAGGTGCGCAATCGACGTCAGAGGAAGTCACGTCGTTACTCTGATTGGAGTCGTGGAACGTTAATTGGTGAGAGTACTGAAAACGAATTGAAAACGAAGCCTTCGTAGGGAACGCGCGCGACTTGGTAGAAGGTGCAGTGTACGGGTTAGTTGGGCTGATGAGTCAGGCGGTAGTCCCAGTGATAGAGGCTCGGGCGGCTTCTTTGTTGGGACCAACAACTATGTTGGATGAGCATATCGGTTCGACTAATGAAACCCATCTCACTTTGGTGAAGGCATTGCAAACTTTACCTGTGCCTCAAACGGACATATTGAGGAGCTTGTCGGGAAAGGCAACGAGAGAACAGCCATCCCGTTGTAGCGTCCGAGATATGCTGAATACTCTGCGCAAGGATGTGGAGACACCATCTAAAGACAAGTGTTGGATTCATCGGGATTGGTAGGAGGGATGAGCACTGTTGAATATCACTGATTGTGACCTAGGCTGGATCACAGTATCGAGCTGCTGTTTTTACTGGGCGATAAATCGGAGGAGTGGTTGAGGCAGCTGCGCCCGCCGTCTCGAGAGGGTCTTGTCCTCTCGGCCAGACTTGAGAGTGAACTCAGAGATCCACACTGGGAAGTGGTAAGTAGATCTCCCCGATCTATTCTAAGAATTGTCATTTCGAGTTGATATATTGCCGTTTCAATTTCTGGTGATCGATAATTTTCCCCTTCCATTTCACATCTGAATTCCATACAGCTCTCGTTATTAACCTCAGCTATACCTTCTGGGCTCAATGGAGATGAATGGGATGCCCTATCGCCAGTCACTGCCAATGTGGTTGGCTGATAGCAACGCCAAACATGCAGATGGTAAGGAGAGCACTGCTGACTTGTTATAGTGTGAGCGGATCGATCCCTTCAGAGTTGACCGGCGGGTTCGATGCTCCTGATGATATAACGTCGTGGATCGTTGAGGTCCTCATGGAGAACGTAGCGGAATTACCGGTCACCGCTGTTGAAGCTGTTGTGAGAAAGGTCAGTCTTGGCGTTCTACTCAGTCAAAGTGCTCGCTATAGACCGGCCTGATATCCCACATGGACCCCTCTCGTGATGGGATCCATCTCGGGCTTCAGAGGAGGGAAAGACTTGTCGTATTCCCATCGCGGTGAGTACTACTGTTCTCACCTACACCGTATTGGAGTATGTGATTTGTTAGCTGGGAGACACTCAGCTTATCCGACGACCAAGAAGGCCGCATCCCTTTTGTGTAGGACACCAGGAGGTGCTCATTCGACTTGACCGCTTCAGACGATACGACCGGTCCAAGTATCGGCGATTCAATCTGGAGACTACATCACCTCAACGCCCTGAGTCATGACACGCCTTCTGGCAATTTACTAGTGTCCATCAACTTTGACTTTTCGCGTAGTGTTTGACGAGTTCGCTGATTTATGGTAGGCATTATTGATCAGCTTCTGATGGCCACTTCAGAAGAATCCTCTCCCGCCACGCCTTCATCGAGCGAAGCCTCAGAGGAGGTCGGGGAGGACACCCTCCAGACGGCTGTAACAGATCTGGTTTCCTCTTGTGATCTCGAGACCATATCATTGAGGGAGCTTAGGCGCCTGCTAGAAAAGAAGCTCCAACTACCCGATCTCGCGCTTGATAAGTAAAATCTAACCCAGCCGACGTGGCGATCTGTTTCTCCAGGCAGAGGAAGGCTATCAAGGACATGGTTGGGGAAGCCATCACGAAGGCCGAACAAGAGAGAGATGATAAAGTGATGAAGGCTGAGGTATTCAGCAAGCGTCGCTTTGGGGGTTCTACTGTGGCAAGTTGCCTTTGATCAGGTCGCGGTCAAACGGGAGCGGAACGAGTCGCCACCGAAAGTTTCCACTAGAAAGCGAGTGAAGAAAAACGAAAAGTCTGAAGATGATGAATCCTCCTCTTCACCGTCAAACACATCCTCAGCTTCAAGCGATGCTTCGTCTGATGATGCCGGAGAGGCAGCGGCACCCAAGCGCAAATCGACTAGGAGTAGAACTCCACCTCCGAGTGGGTTAACTAAGCGCAGTTTTGAGCGGGCAGCCAAACCATTGAAGCTCACTCTGGGGAAACAAGTAGGCTGAATTCGCCCGGTGAAGTTTCTGTGTGAGAGCAATTTTTTTCAGAACATTGATATACCAGCTCGAGTGTTTAAGACTGGATCATGCGGATGGTGGGGTCGCACTAATATCAAAGTCCCTGTTGGCAAGCATAAAGTTATGGCTTCTTGTCAATTCCAAATAATTGTGCAGAAGTCTAAAGAATGGCCCGAGAAGTAGGCTCATCACTATTCGTATATTACGCTCGAGTGAGCTATCATAGTCGACGCCATATTGATGTTGGGTTGGAGTATATTCTTATGTAATGGGTGCGATTGATGATTATGTTCCCTCCTGACTAGTAAATTATCGCGAAAGGTGGTGACAGTGCCGGTGTCAACTGAATAATATGGTCACAACTATACCGTTTCCCGTACAAGTTGATAAGTGACACTTCAACAATGGTTCGCATCAGGAATGAAATCTATCATTTCTTTCAATGGGCTACACAGAGTAGTTCACATGATGTGTCGGGAGTTATGTTGTCGCTGTGGCAACAAACAGTGTGTTCTTCTAAGAATGGGTCCAACAAACAGTATTAATTCCACGAAGAAAATAGTACACACATCGACCAAAGCTACCTTCAAAAGACAGTGGCAACCACACCAGGTTCACCTACTGCGAACGCAAAACCAGATGAACAGCACCACAAGAATTGAAATGAGTATAGTAATTGCGACTTTGAGATCACTTCATTGCATGATATCATCAGCAAGGATCGCCAGTACGATCTCGAGGAGAATTGGCAGCGGCCCCAGAAGGGCTGCTCATGTTGAAGTTAGTTATTTGGTTGATAACATCAGCCGCTTGCCGCAGAATCCTAATAGCCTCAGCACAATGAGCTCGGCCTTGGGAAATCTCCGGAGACTCGTTGAGCAATTCGCCGAAAAGGTCCTCCTTATACAGTTGCGTGACCAGCTCTCGATGCAGCACCTGAGATTCAACGGATGGAGCCTCAATGGCAGGGTTGTCCACTGAAGGAAGTTCATAGTGAAATTTCAATTCATTTGGAAAAATGGGAAACTTGACGAGATGCGAGTCAACCCTTCCGCTCCACGCTGTTGCTATCTCATTGAATCAATCATAGTAGTACATACTGATAAGGTGTATCGAATACTAGTTCGAAAGTACAGTGGAGAATTTTGGGGAATAATAATCTTTGAAATTTCACTTCCGACAACCCTGTCCGAGGATGATAATAGTCGTACCATATCTGCTCCAAAAGTGTTGACCATGAAACACATGACAGCTTTTGGGACGAGGTCACAGATGGACCTTTTGACGATGTTGAGGTATCTGCCAATGACACTCGCCGCTTTGCCGTGCTGATTCGCAACAACCCACGATGCGATCAAGCTCTTGATTATGTCCGTCTCTATACGCTCCTTCTCGCTGAGTTGGCTCGAGTGCACGGACACCACAGCAGGCGGTGCAGCAAGGCGAATGCCCGTGGGGATCCCCCCAGTTAGCGAAGTGATGCTATTATCCCGTTCTAAACCTGTCCCCCGTTCTAGCTGAAACAATAAGAGAAGGAAGCCACTCACGTGCACCCATCATGGGGGTCGCTGCGGCGCTCCGAAGAGGCCCCAGGCTCCAAAGGAGACCACCACTTCCCTGTG